TAATAAAATATTTATTAGTACATATTTATTCATATCAAACATTTAATTGATTTTTTTTTTTTTTTTCAAAATTCAGTGGTAATTCATGCATTTGAAAAAGCATTTAAAAAATATTTTAATGTAAGTTGTTAATTAAATTAAGCCTCCTCTTCCTTTACCCTCTCTCCATCTAATATTAAGGAAATCAGTTGCTTCAGAAAATCTGACTTCATCTGCCGCTGTTAAACCTTTGCTGTCACCATCTGTTGTGCACACCTTTGACAGAGAATCTCTGCATTTTTCATTATTATTATTATTATTATTTTAGGGCCCTCTCCTTGCTGAAGTAGGGAACAACATTGCCACCTAGAGGATGATCCAAGTCAGTATCCAGCATCTCAGGCCAGATTCACACAACCCCTGCTTACCCTCACAAACATTTTGCCTCAGTAACCTGAGGCACATTTAAAAAGTAATTTTATTGCAGCCCCTCCCCCAAATAAAACACATTCAAATGCGACTGTCACATCAGCAACACGGCTGCATCTCCGACCAAGCTATTCCATTGCCCCTACAGTTGGCTGAAGTGTACAGCATTTATAATGGTTCACTGGGCACTAACCATGAACATTCAGAACTATATCTCCCCATGCAAAATCCAGAGGATCAGAGACCGGAAGATAGCATGCATCCACAAGGGCATATAGAGGAAAAAGAGGGAGGAAAACAAGTAGGACGTGAGAGAAAATACTATTCCCACTGGTTTAACTACACCAAATCAAAGTCTTTTTTCCATAGGAATTTGATCCGCTTGTTGTTAAAACAAATTAAGCGGATTAAAAAACCACATCCTACCTGAATAGATGGGAGCCAGTCGAAATATATCAGAAAGCCGGCTGTTCACAGGTTCATATGGAGAATCCTCAAGTAAATCATTCCCTGTAATATGAACAAATGACATGTGACTAAATAATCAAATGCTATATCAGTTATGAAATATTTTTCTTAAGTGCATCATTGATGTCATTATTTAATGTGTGCATTAAACTACAAAGCTGGAAACTGTCCTTTACGTTAGTCAGTATTTGGGTCATTGATTAATGGAACTGGTTTACATTTCCGGAGACAGTTTCTGGTTGATTAGCTGTACTGGTCAGTTGAGCTGAGAAAGTTGCTGCCCCCCTCCAGCACACACATATAGCCTACACTGACATAAAGCATCAGATGACCTCACACTCCATAAACTTTAATGGACACACTTCAGAAAGGCATTTGAAGACTTTACAGTGGCCCTATCTGATAACAGAACTCAGAAAAGCAACTTCCTTGGCGTAGTATTATTGGTTGCTAAGTATTAAAAATAAACAATGTCAGAAAAAAAAATTGTGTATGACTTTATACTGCATTTTGAAGCTAAATATTGTCACAGCTTCATATATTTACAGTGCACTATATGAGAAAGCAAGTCCATTTAAAGCGTCCAGTGCAAGCCGGCATTCATCCTTCGCCTCCACTCCAGTCACCATACTGAAGTTGCTCTCCCTCCCCGCCACGCACTGCCTCATAGTTCGATACTTCGTGCTGCATCCCGGCTCCTTCAAACACAGCTCGTTCGCCTTCACACAGTCCAGCCGGGTTGAGCTAGTAAAGTAAGACTCCTCGGCAGATAACAGCACATCTACAAAGGACGACAATATAAATAATCATATCACGGATAGGATCGCGTTTTATTGAAATGCTTCAACAAAAGGCTACTCAAGACTGTTACAAAAGATATCGATGATAATAACAACAACAATAAACGTATTAATATATTAATATTTCATTCGTATAAATATTTATTATTTTATTTTTGTTCTATTTTTTTTTTAATTGTATGAAATATTTTTCGAGTTAATATTGTTCAAGATTATAAGGATTTAATAAACTCAAGGTGCTTTAGAGATTAAAATATTAGCACAAGAAGATTTAAGCAGACTTAGTGGAAAGTAAAACAGCGCTGATCCTCAAAAGCTAAAATATGCCCTTGTTATGAGACAATTGTAACCGTATATAATCTATTTATGTATTGGACAGAATCAAAAAGACTACAATGCGAAAAACTCTTTTTTTTTTATGGTCTTATGATGACATCTGAGTTTTAATCTTAAATTTAATACTGCGTGTCAGTGTTCCTTCCAATCGATTGCTACCATATCATTTACCAGTCAATCACTGAATATGTAAAACCGCATTCAAACTCACCCAGCAGCGGTAAAACGAGGTAAATCGCGGCGATGAACATTGCGCTTTTTATCCGTTGGTAAATTCGTTCAAACACGCAATTTATTGTTTTGACGAGGAAAAGGATAATCCTTCCTCATTCAGGTCCATTGAAACATCGTTGGTCACAATGTACATCCAGAGTAGGTATAAAAGAAAAACAAAAATGTTCCGTAACCTGGTCCAAAACTGTCACTAAGCGATATGGAATGGTTTCTTGGATTAAGACTCATAGACAATGTAAGAAACAGGCAGAAAATGAGTCGCAAGGCAGCAGAATTAAACTCCAGCTCTCAAGATCTGCTGGTGCGTCTGAGCGCGCGACAGCACTGTGGCATTCAGTTCAGTTGCGCTGTAACCCAAACCAAAAACCACACGCGACTGCGTGCATGCTCAGCGCTTCTGCTTGAAGCACGGCAACAGGACAAAGACATTCCGTTTTGCCACTCCAAAACTTATCGTCTTTAATGCTTTCTGTTATTGCGTAAACGGTATAGGGTGTTATGCACGCTGCTTGTGTTTTTATTTCTCGTCAGTTGGTGAAGTGTGTCTAAGAAATTCCATGCACTGCTGACTCTGAAATCGCTTTTGTTTGCCTGACCTCTAGATGTTTTTTTTGTTTGTTTCCGCCCCCCCCTTTATTCAGTTCCATCACACAAAGGGACAATGCAAACGGAAACGTTGCACATCTCAAAGCATGCAAAACAGACCTCTAGATGTTGGACAATCTGGTCTGAATGGTATTATATGAGCAGATTAGTCTGGTCTGGCACTGGTAGGCTACGCCACTAAACAAGTAAATGATTTACGCGTATCAAATTGTGTATCAAAGTCTATAACACTTATTCAGTTTTCGCTCTAAGATTAGACTAGCCTACTTCTAAGGTAACCTGCAACATTGCTGACTTACTCAGAAAATACTACGAAAGAAATACGTTAAAACGTTCAGTCAAAATATAGTTTTGTTTTATGCATGATGATCACATAGCCTATGTGACATCATGATTAAGACCGTCCCTGGGAAGTTTTCATTTAACAAACAAGCAATAAAGATTTTTAGTTTCATCAAATAAAAATAAACACACAAAATAAATAATGCCGTTTTATTTAAGAACGTTAAATACTTGCTTGTTTTTCCATTAAACATTTAAAATGACCCTTTTC